TGTGCTCCAGGCTGTCACCCAGGATAGTAATGAGCTGCCTTCTTCATTCCTGCAGGTGCAATTGTTACAGGCCCAGCTGCCAGCGATCATGGACACGTTCTATGACAGGGATGGAGGGTGTGTCATGGAGGCCATGCATAAAGCTGGAGACATCATCTACCTCCTCGACGGGGAGGGGCTTGGCTCCATCTCCCAGGACATTGCAGTCAGCCTTCGCCCCTTCATTGATGACGTAAGGCTTGGAACCGCAGGATAACGCCCATTCCCCCCCCCCCTCCGCCTGCCTCTGATGCCCTTGTCTCTCTCTCCCCATCCCCTTGCCTCACGCCCCTCAGCCCTGCCATGGAGCCTCCAAGGAGTGCCCCCGCCATGGGTGGGGAATCTCCTACTCAGCCACTTCCCTGTCAGAGCTCTTCTCGGCAAACCTTAGCCTCAATGCCCTGCTCCCAGCCCCTGCTGCAGCCTGACCTGGGGGAGAGGGGGCCTGGCACTGGGCAGATGACCAGCTGTCTGGAGAACACCAGCCCCCAAAGAGGTGGAGATTCCCAGCAGGAAAGAGGTGGGTCAGGAATGGCCCGGCTCTCAGGGGAACTGAAGAGCAAAAGAACTGCTGTGTTTTGTAGCAACACATTCCTGCAAGGCTCCACCAACTGCTTCTCCCCTTCCCCAGACCAGTCTCCAGCAGCCTTCCCTCCCCCTCCCCTAATCTTCTAGGGTTCTAGGGTTCGTTGCTCTCCAGACAGAAATTGTGTATGGGACACCATGGGGTTGCACTGCCCAGCACAGTGTCTTGGGCCCTGTTCTGCACAAGATGTCTATGGCGCTCTCCTGGTGGCCTCATTGCTCCCGCAAGCCAAGTCAGGGGGAACCGGAGCAGCGGGCGGATTATGACTCTGTCGCGTTACGCTCTGATACTGCCTGGCTTTAACTGGGCTTCCCCACTCCCTGTCTGTCATTGCGAGGAGAGGGGCAGTGTGCGCTCCGCTGCCATTTTACTGCTTGGCAACGTGGTGAGCAGGGTGAAGGACCCAGACAAACGCAGCGTGCAGGAGGAAATGATCAACTGTTTCTCCCGCTGCTGCTGCATCTCGAAGACCAGGATGAGAGTGTGACACTGGTAAGTGCCACGGTTGTTATTTCCTTAAGAGCAAAGAGCCAGAATCCCCCACTCCATTAATGGCCAGAGCCCCTTGCCCAAGCAGAGTCTTCTCCTCCCTGCTTCACTCCATGCTGGAGCCTAGTGCCTCATCCATCCTCACAGCACACAGCACAAGTTGGAAGAAAAGCCTTCTTCTGAGAAAGAGTCCTGACCCTCTACTGCAAAGACAGGCCTCAGGCCTTTGGGCTGCTGCATCCAAAGGTTCCCAACAAGAGACAGCAAAAGAAAAGGGAGCATAGATCTGTAAGTGCCCTTCGGTTCAGGGAGCTGATATCTGTGATACCCACAGCCTTCTGGAAAGTGGGTGCAGCTGCCCTGCCTGCTTCCCTGGAGCTCCTGAGAGACCTTTTCCAGCAGGTCCTCACTTCCCAACATTCACCAGACATTGCCTTCTTTCGTTGGGCCAACTGGGATGTGGAGGGAAGTCTGATCAGTGTGCCTCTTTGGTCAACTCTTTGGGATCCCAAAGCTGACTCACGCTCTCATACAGTTTCTTTGCATAGAAGGACTGAGTTGTGGAGATCTCTTATGATTCTTTCCAGGGCTGCCCATAGGGGGGCACTGGGCCTGGGACAATCCCCCCCCTCCGTCCACCCCGCCCACTCCACCCCTTCCCCGAAGCCCCCACCCCAGCTCTTCCTGCCCCTGTTCCACCCCGCCCCCTCCTCTCCCGAGCGACGCTGGGAGCCGGCGAGGTGGGCTATAGCTTAGCGGGGCTAGGAGTACTGCTGCTGGCCCCGGCACGGCCCAGGTCCTGCATCCCCCTGAAGTGCAGGGCCCCCCAAAGCACAGGGCCCTGGGCAACCGCCCGAAACCATCCAAAGACAGGATGGCTCTTGCTCTCTCCAGCCAAGTCTCAGTTCCCTCTCCTGAGCACAGTCCTGTGTAGAACAAATGACAGGAATCTCCACGAGCACGAAAAGCAGGAGAAAAGGGACAGGGAAGGTTCGATGTCCCCCAGACAATCCCTCTCTCAGTGAGAACCCTCTTGGTCTCACCTTCTCTTGCAGAGATGCAAACTGACGCTCTTCCGCTGCGCAGAGTTTCTCAGGTGGGCTCATTTGAAGACGCTGTTCCGCAGCATGGCCTGGGATGGCTCCTCACAGCTCCTGAAGTGTGTCTGGAAGTGCTTGGTAGGTGAATTCCTTGTGCCTTGAGAGTTGTGAATGGTGACTTGAAGGAGACCTTTCTAACCCCACACCCTGAGTACCCATCTGCTTTGGTCGAGTGGCAGGACTCTCTTCCAGGCTCTCTGCTGGTTCATTTCTGCATGAGTTACAATCCCTTCACATTTTTGAAATTTTTCTCCACAACTGTCAGACCTCCAAACTTGTGTCTTTTAAAATGAAAGCTGAGGTTCTGGAGAACACAATAGTAACCCCAGAGAGGTGCTGCTATGGTGTATGGGCTCATACTGGCTGTTGCTTTGCCCTGGCTGTATGCTTTGGCTTTCCTGGCCTCTTCAATGTGGGAAGAACATGTCATTTGTATATTGTGCATTTCTTCCTTCTTTCCTCCTAGATGCAGAACGAGAGCCACATCCCCAAATTCCTGTTCCAGGCCTTAGAGTACCTGGAAAGCTCACAGACAACAATAAGACATTCTGCAGCCCTGTTCATTGGTAAGCAGAGTAAATTCACTTGATCTTTTTTGAACTGCGTCCTTCAAAGCCCTTTTCTAGACTTCTGGTGTGTGTGTGATTGAGAGAGAGACAGAATTAACATGTATTCCAAGATGAAGGGAGCAATTTAGCTGTATTGACCGCACCAACTTCCCCTACCCACAACAACTCTTTGGCTGTGCCTAGTGGAAACCAGCATGATGTGAATTCAGTCTCCTTTGGAAATCAGCCAATCAGTAAATTCTAGGCTTCTGATCCTTTTATGTGCTTTGTGAGCAGATGTAAGGAATATATTTAATTTCCCAACGGCTGTTTTGGGGGAATGGCTGCACCTTTAGCAGTTTTCAGCGAAGGATTTGAAAAGTAATGAGATCCATTGTATGTCTAGGAAATACTATCCGCCATTACTGCGACTTGTGGTCTGAAACCGTGAATGAAGATGGCATCTCCCGCCTGTATGAAGGTAAGGAAATAGCTCTGTGTGTTTTTGCCTCTGTGGGAAGTACAGGGGTGCAGCACAGGGCCTGAACACAGGTTTGAATGTGTCCCTCTCTGGCTAAGGACAGCGTTTAAGGAAGAAGGATGGTCACGCGAGCTTTCATCGAGGTCCCACAATATGTGTATGGGAGCAGGGGATAACCATCCCTAGCTCCTAGGATAGAGGTAGCCTTAGAGCTGTGTGGGGAGACTGTCTTCATAAAGGTCAGAAAGTCTCTAAAGGAAGGCCTGACAGAACTGAAAAGGGCTGTTGTTATTATTAAGCATGATGATGATGATGACAATTACCCTCTGTAGGGAAAGATTCATCACCTGCCCTCCCTGTAATGGAGTGATTGCAGGCCAGGGAACCATTCAGAGGTTGTTTATCAGCTCATAGGAAATCCCCTGAGTGCACATGGGAAACATCTTTCCCTGTGACCTCTTAAGGAATGAAGGCACAGGGCCACAAAGGATTTCAGTCTAAATTCCTTTGCGGATCTGTGCATAAATGTTTGATGATTAAACACCTCTGCTGTTGTCACTTTTTTGTTACATCCCAAGAACAATTGCCCCCACCTGCCTGTGTTTTAGTGCGTGGACGTGTGTGTGACCAGGTGTATGCTGGGGGAAGGGGAAGTTACAGACGAATGGGGTCTCCTCTCTGTCCAGGAAAAAGAAGAACAGGAGTACTTGTGGCACCTTAGAGACTAACAAATTTATTAGAGCATAAGCTTTCGTGGACTACAGCCCACTTCTTCGGATGCATATAGAATGGAACATATAATGAGGAGATATATATACACACATACAGAGAGCATAAACAGG